GCTCCAAGCGCACAAGTAATGCAGCCGTAAGGGAAGAATTGGGGATCCAATCCCTACGGTCGGGAAGAGACGCAAGGAAGCTGACATGGCAGTATCGCATGTGCGGGATGGGAGAGGAGGGGTTGCCGAGAATAGTATGGGAGGCGAATTGGGCAAATAAAAACAGGGGTAGACAACCCACGGAATGGGTCAAGGTTGTAGAGGACGTATGGAAGGGGTTAGACATCGACGAAGTTGAAACGCTGGAAACGGAGGGTCTACAGGGGTTCAAGGAGAAGATATTTGTTGCTTGTGCCGATAGAGAAGAACAGAATCTAAGGAAAGAAACCAAGGATAAGGAGAGTCTAGAAGTGTACGGCATGTTGAAAGAAGGAATAGGGTTCAAGGATTACCTACATGGACCAATGGATGAAGGGACAAAGCTTCAGGTCAAATTCAGGACCGGGGACATTGGCCTTCGAGAACGTCGAGGAAGACATAGGACGGTAGACGACGAAGACGACAAGTTCAAATGTGATTGCGGCTTCGAAATCGAAGACCGTGTTCATGTAGTCGCGCAATATCGGCTGAACAATACGGAGAGGGAAGTGTACATGACCGAGCTGGGAAAAATAGAAGGGAGGTACAGGGAGATGTTTGAGGCATGGAATAGAGAGGAGAGGACGGTAGCTGTACTGGGGAGTAGGAAGTGGTTTGAAAAGGCGGGAAGGGATATCGTTAGGATAGACAGACTAGGGAAGACATTTTTGAGCCACCTTTGGCAAAGTAGGAAGGAACGATTGGCCATCGGTGATCGGTCCTGTGGGAACAATGCTCCGTCCTCTCGAGGACGCGTGGTCAACGGTCTAACCGCTAAGACATGCAAAACATAAGAGTACGCCCCCCCCCCCCTCCCCCCCCCGCCCCGAGTCATCCCACCCCTCGGTGTTTGCCATCGGGGTTTTTGTTGCTTGGCAGCGATGTTGTACAACAAGCCAATCACTTCATGAGCTCAGCAACCACGTTATTACCGCTTTTTTGCCTTTAGGTTTGTTTTTTCCGCGGTAACCATGAATGAATGGTGGTCGAGTAGATTAATGGTGTGCGGGGTCGAGAACCGTCAATCCGCGCAAAGGGAATGATCGCACCACGTTGTGTTAAAATGGTCAAGCATCCTCGAGGCAGTTACACAGCGCTTACAACTGTCTCTGGACGTGAAAGCACCAGAAAATAAATTAAGTCATCCGCAGCTGTCATCCGGACGCAAGGAAGTAAGCACAAGATGCCGAACACCCTTAGCAGGATGCAGCGCACCCTTCATGCGACTCGCCGAATACCTCACGGCCCTTCGCGCTTGGTGATGTGAGAGCCTGGTCCGGTGAGAAACCGGCGTGCTCCGTCCCGGCTTTGTAGGGATGCGAGGTCAATGGTCTAACGACCACGGCATGCACGACTATGAGTACCCCCACCCCCCCACTAGTCATCAACTTCTGCGCAGGTACGTGTACATGCGAAATTATTGAGCCACCCCCGGCGGCCCGAGCAGCGAAGTAGGAATCGTATCGCCTGTCTTTCATGACTTCAAGCGCCGTCAGCAACTTCAGCTTCATTGGTACATCCTGTAGTGTTTGGGTGTGAGTGTCACGGAGGGGCGAAGCAAACAGCAGTTTTCTTTTTTCGCCCCACAGCAGTTTTTCCTGTTCGACGAAACAGCTATGTATGGCAATCAATCTGTCGTCCTGTTAATACCCTTTGCGAGGGGACGGGCATAGAAAAGGACTTCCCGATCCTACGGATGCAGGTAAGGTTATTTAATATCTACTTGTAGCCGTTGATGCACATATATGCATCCAACTGTAGGAAAGATACGACACGATCTAAGCGGAAACCCCATAATATGGATACCACCCTTCGAAAGCCACCTGCGGAGTTGGGAACGTGGGAGGTCTTCTGGCTTCCCTGCCTCCTACTACCCTCTCTCTTCCGTACAATTCTCTCTTTCTCTTACGTCACACACTCTCTCTCTTCCGAGGCATACTCCTTGCCAAACGTCAAGATTGAAAACTGCGCGCCCCCGGTAGTGGGAAGTGGGAAGACTATGCTGCACTGGGCGTTGGATGCTGGAACACCCGATTGGATATTTTCTGACAGTCTCGCTGAAAAAGTTCCGCGTCATGACGTCATGACGTCTCCGCAGAGGGCAGAAACGAAGTGCTGCAAAGCAGCAGCGAGAGAAATAGCTTTCCATGGCTAATCGTCCTCCTACCCAAGATCTCAGACCCCTTGCAAGCAGCTGTGCTGTCTGCTCTGGAGCAGCGATGGCGGTGAGTGCAAATAAACAGCGGACAATAGAAATAGCTGAAGTAGACGAGCCGGCATCCCGACATGCATGTATCTGTGAGACAATTCAATCCTGCTCTTTTGGATACGAACGTAAACTACTATACAAGTCATAGATAGAGCAGCCTGCAGAGGTTGTTCTACTTGAGCAAACATTGTATGCACTAGGCAGGTTGAACATCAACATGGTTCCTCTCGGTCGGGCCGTTCCCTGTCGCACACGTGATGACCTGTCTCTCGCCGCAAATCTGCCGCCGCCGTTTCGGAAATCAACCCACCTCCCGCGTGGGTACCCAAACGCAGTCCATGATGAGCTACCTGTCCTTTGGAGGGGTTGAATGGGGTTGCATGAGCCAGCTTTTCTTCGACAATACAAGCACGCTCCTCGGTGTACTCGGTGCCATTTTCAACATGACCTTCTTCGGGGTGCCTATCGAGATCATCAACGAGGTAGGCCTTTTTGCCAGCAGTGGCAGACGTATAAAAGAAGCTGCATCTGCCACCGGTAGGGAGGGTCCATGTGTCTATGTATGCCTGTTGGATCTTCGAACTCTTTCAAACAGAAATTAGACTTACACTATGGTAGAATTGTTCTTTGGGTACAAGGGGTTCCCTAGGGGGGGCAGGCTGTGCCCCGCTTAAGCCCCGCACATATGCATGAGGAAAGTCTAGCAGTAGAAGATGCCAAGTAGAGACAAAGGTTTACGATTGTTTGTGTGATACCCAACCCCGCACGCCGGCCCCCGGGCTTCGAAGAAAGCCGAAAAGCCACTGGTAGCTGCAGTTATTAGAGTCGACAAAGGTCACACATCTTTCCAACATGCCGCATTCCTGGCAGAGCTACCAACAAACACATTCCCTTGCTGTGCATACACACAGCAGTGAACTTCTGTATAGTCAGTTCGTTCCGACCGGAGTATTCCGCGCCACTCTTTTTTGTTCCCGGAGCATGGCTAGCGGATGTCTCCCTTGACAGCTCGCGTTGCGTCGTCTCCAGCGTAGGGCGCGGCGCTCATCAGCGAGCGAGACTCTGTTGTGGGCGATTGACCCACAGCAGTTGTATCTTCCGCTGTTACTGCTGACTGGTCCACAGCAGTTGTAGGTCACTTTTCATACCAGCCACAGGCAAAAACACGATCCATCAACAATTATTCATGTGCGATGTTGCACGGTTTCAGATTTAGACTACGTTCCGGAAAGTTCATTTTTACTTTTTAGTGTAAAGAGCCAGTAATTGCCGCCATGAAAATGAACTTTCGACTTTCGACCCTAGGAAGATTGTTTTAGAAGATTTTCAGGGCTTTCTTCGTTAACGGTTTTTCCTGTCGGCATCATTTCCCGCGTTAACCAGAAACCACGGTACAACACAGTTTATTGGGCGGTAACTGGCCACCACGGTAAATTCCGTACGGCAATTGGTCACTACGGTAATTTTCTTGTACTACGGTAATCAGCCACCACGGTAATGCATTTTTTACGGTAACGGGTCACCACGTACCGTGACGGTACAAGTTGTACAGTTAACCACACCAAGCATCGCACGTTGGGCCCTGTTTCGTTTGCTTTCTTTCAAGTGTTCCTCAAGCATATGGTCATCGCATAACAAACGTGCGCCACACACATTACCGAGCATCACATTCGTCAACCAAACCGGTCGCATAAAAAGAAGGGTGAAAACCAGACTGCAGGCAGGCTCGCGTGGCCTCAAGACGACGACGTAAGTCCAGCCCTGAGCCAAGTTATTATGCCATCAGCAGAAAGGGCTGGCAACAAGCAAGCGCCGCCTTCCTCATACACACACAGAGAAACGATGTGGAATTCAACGGTTCAACAAACAAAACAAGAAAACAACCCCCACGCAACATACCCCCACCTATTATTGTTAAACATCACCCCATGAACACCTTAGTCAAATCTGTCAATCAGGCAACAAAGGAGCAAAGAACAAACAAGAGAAATACCAACAGAAAACATCTAGAGTTCCATAACATAGCATACATGCAACGCGATTGCTGCATCAACCAAGGTGCTCGACATCAGCTAAACAACAGCAATGCACTTGGTGTTTCTGTGCGGTAGATGGGATCATATTGTTCTTACGGTAATAATGTACTCCGCGGTGACTCGAAAGCACGGGAAGTGCGATTTCTGCGCGGTAAATTTTTGTACGTTAATGGGAAAACTTAATTTATTTGTTCGTGAACGGTTTGGGCGTTAACGGCAATTCTCATTTTCACTGGATGAAGGGAAACGGAAATTACCGCAGTAACATTACCGCGGAAAATTAACGAAGAAAGTCCTTAAGTTGTAGCACGAAGGGCAGCTCTCGTCTGTTCCAGTACTATTGCTGTTGTTGTGTCTTCACATTAAATACAGAAACACATTTATACTAATTTCTTCATTCTAGACGCCTGCGATGCTAGCACCTACGATGGTATTTGCCACGGTAGTATGCTAGAAACAGAGATAGAAGAAAAAGAGAAAGAGAGAGGCACGCATCGCCGGGAGCTCGGAAAAGCGAGGAGGGTCAAACAATCTCAAGAGAATGCAGAGCGGTATATTCTTTAGGGACACATGGATATGATTAAGTCTCCTTCTGCCTCTATCGTAACCCCCCCCCCCCGCCCTTAGATTCAGCTCAACGGTAGCCAGCCATGGTTACCTACTATCTCGTGGCGACCAAACAATTTTAGTCAGAGGGACGACTGGAGCATGCTTTGCGCTTTGTATCTACGCGTTGTGCACTATGCGTCGACTTAGTGTGAAAGGTCGCGATCATTCAGCACGTCCATGATTGATCGTTCCTCGTGTCGCGGTCGGATGTAATCTTAATCTAATCGTAAACTGAGAGTATTATGTTCTCTTCTCCGTCTTTGTTATCTTGCACATTGGCGCACAGGTATCTCGTACTGTGTACCACACTAGAGCTGAAACATCAACAACTGAAACAAACGTCACTAGTTTTGAATATCAATCCGTTCGAAATATGTAAATACATGGACAGGACGAGAGCAGTCTGCGAGGGACAAGAAGCGATGAAACCCGATTGGTACGATCTATCTTTCCCCACGATCGCAGCAATTTGCGCAAAATATTTATTCAGCCAGGGGTACGCAAATAAGCAATGTACCCAGACCCTTGACGGGGGCTTGAAACCGGCAAAAACCCTATCGCTATCCCTCACCAAACCCCAAACCCACACGATAGGTGCTAGGTTGACGCTGGGTGGATAAGGTCTAAGTAGGTGGGTTGCCGGTATTGTGCTAGGCTGGTGTTAATGGGATGATTTCTAGGCGGGTGTGCCCGCACATAGGTACTAAGTTGGCGTTGATGCGATGAATCCTCATAGGTTGGTATGACTTGGACAGGTGCCAGGCTGCCCCCACCTCCGGGTACATTGCGTTGACGGCTCGCGTTTCGTGTGAGTGCGAAAAGGTCAACTTTGTTGTTTATAAAACCAAGCTATCAATGAAAACCTATGCATGTTCAACACTGATGACTTCAACACTGATCATTTGATGTTCTTTTCGACCTCTCTCTGTCATATGCATGTCGATAGATAGATAGTCGTCTTCACTTTTCTTCGTGCACCCTTGCTGGGCAGATGATGTTCCTCTCCCCGGTATGCATGTCGCGCCCCGGAAATGTGTGGACCAATAAGTTCCCAGAACAAGCTTCTTCGATAGTTTTGTGCGTCCACAAACAAGAGCGTGCCCATGCAACTACAGTTGGGGCCCGCACTTGGGAATGTCTAGTTTTGGCCGAAGCTAGTGTCCTTTAGTTCCTAGGGTTGTGCTGCAAATCGCCGCTATATAGGTTTTAGTGTAAGGGGTTCTTACCGAGCTCAACAATGGTGCTCAAGTTCCCATTCTTTGGGTTTTTCGAGGCTCAATTTTCTTAACTGCCAACTGCTCTAGTGCGGGTGATAACTGTACTAGTCGATGCGTCTTTCGACAACGCGCAGGTGGTTTACCAGAAGATCTTGCCTGGGCTGGGCGTGACGCTGGTGTTCGGCAACACGTGAGTCGCGTGCACAAATGGATGAGACAGTGGGAAAGCACGTGTGCGCGCCATGCCCATTATCCTGGACGTCGATTCTGACATCTTTCCGTACGTGTACATATGGATGCGTCAGCGGGGATTAAACAGCAGAAGGGTCACAACGAAGTGTTTTCCCGGACAACAGAAACGGTGATACGCGGCGTAGATCGTCGGTGTTGCGACCAATGGATTCCGCAAATGGGAAGGAGGCGGTCCACCTGAAGTTTGGTGCTTCACTGCTGTAGCTCAAAGTATGACAACAAGTTTGCGCACTGAATATGCATGAAACGGTCAGCAGTAAGAGCACCAGAATAAAAAAATCGCCGGCACAAGGAGATGTTGGGCGGGAGTCGTCTTTGCATACTGTCTGCCTCTACACAAATCCCCTCTCAATAATTTGTTTGCAACAACATGTCATATCATGCTTTGTTTTTGGAACAACTCGCCCCCCCCCTCCCCCTGAAGGACTGTTTCTATTTTTTGTTCGTCTCTTCTTCCTTTCATCAGCGCAATATATCTGCTGTTGCCGCTGATGTTTGTAGTCTAAACCCCTGAGTGCAGCTGATTTTGTTGACTCACCGCTGCCCTACTTTGCGTCACACCCGTTGTGTACATCATGTACTTGACAAACGCAACAGATACTACACCTACCTGGCCATGAGGCGAAGCAAGGCCTGCGGACGGGCGTTCACCGCACAGGTAAATTGGCTTCGGCGTCTGAAGAAAAACGATGTCACCCCGAAGGTGTTTCACCTGAGATGAAACTGTCGCCCGGAGGAAGGCGTTTGCCTCTCGGGGGATTGCAATTGTAAGCGCTTTTTTAAATCGTATTGTTTCGCTGACGTCGTGCTCTCGCGTCACTTGCATGTAGAGGCATCCCAAAGTTCACTTCGATTTGTATCAATTGTTCGGAGCCGTGCTGGAGATAAAAACGACCACCCGTCCTCCTTATCTCGCATCAGTTCCGCGCGCGAAAATTATTGCACGCTTGGTTCAAGCAAGCGCCGTGCTATCGATCGGATTTTGTCCACACTCTTCGTCCGGAACCTCTTCGCGGTCCTCGTGCAAAGCAGTAAGAAAATGTAGGTCTTGCCGTTTCGTTGCCCGGCATATAGCCATGCACGCAGCATCACGGCGTGATTATTCGCTACCCACGTGCCGCGGAACGTAAGCCGGAACAGGGTTAGGGTGTGGACGCTTCTTTCGTCGTGTGTCTCCACCTATTTCTAGTTTCATCAGTTGCTCTCCACCGCCTTCCGATATCTCGTTCACATCTCGCAGTCAGCCATGGATCGATTTTGGTTAGGTCAACCGTACGTCCCCAGTCCCGCTCTACTCTCTCGCGCGCGTGTTTACTGTGCTTTGAGCCCTGCGGCGTGAACCCCGTAATTTTCACAACCCTCAATTCACCCCCCCCTCCCCCCCCCCCCCATTGAAGAGTACAGACCACGACAATGAGAAGCCTCCTTCCCTCTCTCTTGTTTCCGCTGCACGACGGACGGTTTGTTCAGCCGTACGGCATCAACACCCCGGGAGCGTTCGCCTTCGTGTTCAACATCATCTACCCCGTGTACTTCTCTGGAACGGGCACCCCAACCGAAAAGTGAGCTGGTTCCAGAAGTACCATATGTTCCGTGTGCTATTCCCATCCAGCCTGTACGATATCTCTCTCCTACGGCCACTGCGGATGGCCGTTCACAGATATGGCGCGCTCTCCCTGAGCCCCTCCTCGCCTAGCCCTTCTAGCCGGGGCCATCCACTTTCTAGCAGAAAGCTGCTCTCGTCCACAGAAAAACGAAGAAAACGAGCTTAACGCTTGGTTATCATGGGCGAGAGAAACAACGAATAAGGAGACTCATTACTTTACTTGGTTAACACTGTGCGCATATGCCCTCGTTTGGCACCTTTTCCCTGCGGACGTTGGTTAACGTACGAAGAACGAAATAACTTCTTGTGGCGGTTTCATGGGATTTGTTTTTAGTCAGATGATCGTAGCACGTACTGAACGCGCCACCTTCGTCATCTCCGTCGGGGATCTGGACAGAATCTCGTTTTTTGAAAAGACTACACAGAAAGATTACCCGTTCCAGACAATACGACAGTCGAAGGGTGGGGGTTGAAGTCTTTGCAGTGACTAAATAGAACAAAATCGGCTGGATTCTGTGCTTATTTCTAAATTTGGTGAATAGAGGGATTATCGTCCTCTCGACGGACGTTGGAGTGATGGGGGACTTCTTGAAGACCATCTCCACATTATCGTGTGCATCCTTCTGTCGTTTTTGTCGTTTCGACGATGTTTTTTTGTGAGCCTGACATATTTTGTTTTTGCGCCCTTTTTTTCGCCTTCCGTGGGAAACAGCTTCATCAAGGCGTACAACGTGGCCCTCGCCGCTAACTTCATCTCCGGAATAATCTCGGTCGTGATGGGAACCTTCGGCCCGCAGATGCTGAGAGTCGTTCCACCCGCGGCCCTTCTCGTGCCTGTCGCCGGTAAGAACCTCGCACTAGCACTTACCATATGTTTCTCGTTTCCATCATCCCATCTGTTTACCGTTGTAGCTCCAGCATCCACCTACCGTATCGAGCAAACATTGTTGAGAGTCCTCTTCCAAAGTTTTGATGTTTTGTCTTTCTTGCGGAGTACGGCTCTGCTTCGTTTGTGCGACGGAGATATTTTGTTTTCGTAAGGAAAATATCAGGCTTACACTCTAGAAGACGTTTCAGCTGTGCAACGCGCAACTTAACAGTCCACCAGGGGAACGGCAGCTGTCTCGAGACGCATCACGCGTCGTTGGTGCCGGATTCAATGCCGCTGCCGAATAGTTTCGCCGATTTCGACCTTACTCACAGTCCCATACAAAGAGAACAGGAAGCACTCGCCGCTTTTTACGAGAACTCCCTCAAATACAACTGTGTATCGGCAAGAACCTGACCTAACCAGTAACACGTGTACCATTTGTCAATAAGTGGTAGAAAATTGAGCCCTGCCGCGGCCCAATGAGTACAGAGACTTTACTTGCATTGTAGCTGGCCCAGGCCATGAGTGGGCAACAAGCGGTTGCTTCCTCGGCTACGGCTGTGCCTACCTCTGGGTGATACATCGCCCACGGAAACCTCAAAGAAATTGTTGTTGTTTTTTTCATCTTGCCAGGCATCGGTTTCGCTTTCCTTGGCCTCGAGCAGGCTACCACTCCCTTCGGCGCCCCCCTCGTCGGATTCCTGGTAAGTGAGCGGGAAAACGCTTGTGGTAGTTGTTTTGTCTTGTTGCGTTTTCTTTCATTGGTAGTTTTCGTCATTTGCCTTTGGTGTTGCTATTTGTTTTTGCCGAAACTATGTATCGACGTGCATGACGTCGCTTCTTCGCGCGGCCACCTTCACCATCCCCCCCCCCTTTCTACAACTGTCTGCTCGCTTTCCCACGCTTGTACTTGTGTATCGTTATCTTGCTGGTCGTGTGTTGATTACTCCGCGTAGACCATCACCACGCTCTTCCTTGGGTGGTACGCGAACGTGCGAATCGGCTGGGGGAACTACAGGTGCCCCGAGGCCCTTCAGGTAGGCCGATGAGTGAATTCAAAGAGTAAGAGTGCGAATTGTCGACCTGCGACCTGGGGGGGGGCATTCACATTATCGAGTCAAGCTGCAAGGGAACACCACAACTTCGTTGGCCCACACGCGCACATCATTTCTATGAAGCAGGGAAGGGGAGTCCGGCGGTAAGTATCAACAGAGAGATGAGAATATCGGCAGAGGTCAATGAACAGACACGGAAGCAGCTGCAGCAGCAACAACAACAGCCACGACCTCCACAACAAGTTGCACTAGCGTAGTCACCCACTTACTCACGCGCCCATCACTTGTGGAGGCTGGGGTGGATAGGATATAGAAACAGTTTCGCGGCGTAGGTTCTCTGTGGATTAACCCAACAGCGACTATATTGTATGTGTGGGATTGAGGTGCTGTGAGTGCATATTCTTATTGCCAAATACGTGTACATCTTTCAGAAGTATATACCAACCTCTCCGCGCCCCCATGCCCATGCCCCACTCAACCAGTGTGGTATATGTTAGCCTGATTTATTACATTATTCTCAGGCTCTTGAATGGTGGCGCGTGCTGTAGCTGACAAGAACAAGAGAAGAATAAACAATCGTTTGCACCAGCGGAGATCTTGAACTTGTCGTGTAGAAGCCCCCTCTCCAAAACCAAACGCCAACGGGAAAGATCCGTTGTTTTGAACGGGCCCCTTCTGTGCAGGTGATCATCGTGGGTGTCATCCTCGGGTGGGCTACCGGCCTGAACGAATCGGAGGACGTCGACGCCGCCGTCGACCTGGTCAAGTGGTGAGTGAGAAACGAGCCACACCATGGTACCACGATAGGCGTACCGTAGGTCGCGCATGATACCGTCATGTGCTGGTGAAGCGATGAGTGAGAGGTACACCGATTGCCCTAGAGTCAATGGTAGCAAAGGTGGGGGTACCGCAGGTCAACTTTCGATGCGCTGAGGACCTTTCACAAAAAGCGAAAGGAACGAGGATGACAAACGGGGGTCCATTGCTGGAACAATTCCATAGCGACTAAATGTACCAGTTAGCTTGGCCGAGGCAAGAATGGTGTGAAATTGGCGCTTTACGTGGCCAGGAAGGTGGTTTTAGGAGAATTCGGAGAACTCTCCAAAAATGGAGGCCAAAACACTTGTAGGAATGTGATCCAGCAACGGGACCGTTGTCAGAGAGCATGGTTAGGTGGGGATGAGCAACACGAAGGCCAGCCATCATCCTAACACGTCTGAGTGAAACCTGCGTGAAACGTTGTACCGTACCGATTACGAAATATGGTGTCAAGTCTACTTATAGCAAAGGTGTCAGAAGAAGTTTCCAACCGAAGTGCTGTACTACCACGTTGCGATACGGGTGCTCTGATGGTCCTACGAGCGTGGTGTGGACAAGTGGGGTGCTTCGATGTGTTTTGCAATGTACCGAACACTGCTATGGTAAAATCTGCACGCACGTGTTAACGTGTACCCGTTTTTTCTATTCCCACATGTTTCGTTTGACCGTTAGTCCAACATCCTCCCGCAGTGGACGACATACCACAAGAACGGAACACGTGCCATAGTTCAATGCGTGTTGCTGGAATAAAAATATAACGCACCACACTACGTAAAGAGAGCCTTAGTCCCCTGGGCTTCGCTTCTTGTTTCCTCTGTTGGGTAGTCCAACAGCGACTATATTGACTTAAGTAGGATTCTTGGCCGAACACCTGTCCTTTTGGTCAACTTTTCTCAAATTATTTTTTTTTAGCATGAAGCTGTTATCAAGTCCCAAATTCTTTACTGGTGTCGATTACAACCTCCCAATGTCCAAGAATTACCTCCAAAGTTGAGTTCGTTTTGATTTCGTTTTCTGTATTGTACCGGGCAGAGCCGAAAAAAAGACCAAAACCTACGTTCATTTACAAACAACAGAGTTTGCCAAGAACGAACAATGCATGAATGGACGATTGAAATGGGCTCTTTCTGCGCTTTGTGTGCGTGTTCCCGAGGCAGGTACGGACCGACTTGGACCGGCGGTGACATGCTCGAGAACTTCGGCGACACCAAGGACTACCTGGGCATCGTGTTCCCCATCGCCATATCTGCCGTCGGAACTTCGCTCATGGCTCTCGTCAGCGCCAAGGCTGCAGGTAGAAAATCGATGGCGCACCCAAACGTGCATGGGACTGTACCACTAGTACAGTAGCGGGAGGCCAAGCGCAACGAGAACGACCGTAACAGGAACACCCATGTTCCCCGTAAACCGACCCAAAACCTCAGGACCACCATATCGTCATGTCGTTGTCACCACACTAACCAACACCCCATGCCCCTCTGGGTGTAGGCCGACGTCATCTGAACCTCAACCTACGACGAGCAAGGAGGGAGACGAAACGAAGGTTGTGCCTGGGAACGGTCGCGGTCGTAAGCTTTTGAAAGAGCTCTTGCTGAGTGGATACTAATATTCACCGTCCCCCAGCTGCTCATACGTCTGGCCGCAAGCTTCGTGTTCTATTTAGCGGGAAACTCAAAAGGGAACACGTTTTTTTCGCACGCGGTCTCGAAATCCTCGCGCCCCCCCCCCCATCATAGAACCACGTGCCTTCAGTTTTTCGTGGAAGCTTCCGCCAAGATCTGGAACAGTGTGTAGATCACCCGGTTTTCAACCCCTCCCTTGTTGGTTTATGGTTCCAACGAATCACGGCGTGCATGAACATGATTTCACCCCGTCCCTACCCACGATTTGGTGACCCCCGCCCCCCGCCAAAATCGTGACATCCCTCGACACAGGTGATGCGTACCCCGTGACCGAGAGCATGGTTGCCGACGGTGTCGGCACCATGATCACCTCGCTGTTCGGGTCCCCCTTTGGCACGGTCATGTACTTCGGACACCCGGCCTACAAGAAGTCGGGCGCCAAGACGGGATACAGGTGGTGATGGGGTGCTGTATTTTCTGCACTTTCTCTCTTCTTCCGTTGTTGTTGTTGTTGTTATTGTTGGTGTTGGTGTTGGTGTTTGTGTCCGTTCCAAAGGCGGTCGTACTTCACACCACGCGAATTTATGTGGTTGTGGTGGTGTTTGTTGTCGAAGACGGCCGTGGGTCATTTCGAAACTTCGTCGAGTATATGCCGGAAAAGTGACAGTAGGTCCTCCGCGGTGGGTGATCGGAGAGCTACCCGAGGTATATTTACAGCCAGGGCATCTGCGCAGGATCTGCTGGAGGATAATCCAGTTGACCAAAGACACGAAAAATCGTCGTCGTCGAACACTCACGAACCATATCCCGATTCTTACCTTCTCTGCGTGTCTGCATATGTCTCTCTCTCTGTCTCGTCATTCCCGTTCTCCCTCTCCCCCGCTCCCCCGTCATCCCATTATCTCTCTCTCTCTCTCTCCCTCTCTGTGTCTGTCTGTGTTTGTCTGTCTGCACCCCCTCCTTCTCTCCTCCTCTCGCTCTCTGTCTCTGTCCCTGTCTCTGTCTCCCTCGCGCTCCCACAACCTCGTGTCAACAACGACACCCACGCCGACACGATCACCCCAACACAACAGCCTCATCAACGGCTTGCTCTACCTCTTCCTGTCATGGTTCGGCCTCGTCGCCCTCATCCGCTCCATCGTCAACCAGCCCACCATTGGGCCCATTGTACTGTTCGTGGGACTGATGCTTCTGGAGGAGTGCTTCCGCTTTTTACCCGCCAGGCACTACGCCGCTGTGCTCTTCGGGCTCTTCCCTTCCATCGCTGGTGAGTGCCACTGGGAAAGGATGTGTTGCTGCAGCTCTCCTTGTGCGCTCCTTTGGTATTGCTAGTAAGGCCTGACGGCCACTTTGGATGGAAAACCACACAGCGGTCACGACATGGAGGGCGAATACCCCATAACAGTGCTGATGTGAAGATCAACAACAACGATTGCGGGCGGGCGGCCGGAAAAAAGGCTACTGCAAACAAACGTATGTCACGACGTTGAGTACGAGGTCGAAAGCGTGTCTGATGACGAATCAAGGTGCAAAGAGAAATTTTATATCGCAGCCGATATTGTGTTTGTTTGTCCCCCGGAATTTTCATGTGAAACCTCGCCGCTGTACAGACCTGACCGCTTTTTTCCGAGTCAAGTCTGAGGACAGCAATTCTTCGATGCTACGAACCATCCTCTTAAAATACTGCTTGTTCCTCGCCCCCAATCTCACGCCCAGACTGGGTGACCAACATCGCCGCTCGCGGACCTCTGGCCGGCGTCGCCGAGGACGGGACCGACTACAACACCAACCTGCCCGACCTCACCGACGGGTGGTGGTGAGCAAGACACGAGCAACGTTCGTGTTCTTCAAGACGAAGAACGTGCCTTGTTTTTGCTCTGTTGTAGAGGGGGAAAAACGCTGCCTCTTTGTTAGTTAGAGAGACGTTCCGTTTGGGTGTATCATCGAGTTGTCGCCAGATACGCGCAGCACAGCGCATGTATACAAGTGACAGCGGAGAGAAAGCGGCAACGGATTTAGATAACCTACGCATTTTTGTGGCCATAGGGCTGTGAAACGCCAACACCTCGCCGAGCTCTTTTTGAGACGTGGTGAAGGCAGCATTCATTGGTCGTCCCTTACGCAAGTCTAGGATATGATATGAAAGGAAACTGGAAAGTAGGCATCGCTCTTCGGTCGCACCTGCGACGCCAGAACAACAGCCAACTGCACTGACGGCAACCACCCGCAGCTTCAACAACGGTTGTTGACACGCCTTTTGCGTACCCTTTGCCTGAACTAATCGCAGGGGCATCCTCGGTCTCAAGCGTGGGGCTATTCTGGTGTCTCTCTGCTGGGTTGCCATGCTCGTACACATCATCGACCGCAAGTGGTGGCAGGCGTCGGTCTGGGCGGTCATTTCGGCCTGCTTCACAGCAGTCGGCATCATTCATGTGCCGGTGAGCCCCGCGGCCTATGTAGAACATCGCTCACGAACATGTTGTTACTCTTCTTGTACCGGCAATAGGATGGCCACTCTCCCCTCAACGTAGTTCGTTGTCCTCCATCCACGTTGTACTGAAACGAGCGTCCGTGATTTCCGTGCCAAGATACAAGCCAGCACACCTTTAACCCGGAAGCCGGCACAGTCATGGCAAAATCATGATTCGCAAGAAGGTTGGCGCCTGCCACCACCAACAATTGAATGAGCTTCACGACCACCGTCACATGTGATGGTCTACGACTTGTTTCCGAACCGCCCCACGGGATGCGATAGGTTGGCTTGTGAGGGTTGGTGTACCCCCCCCCCCCCCTCGGTGTTTGCCATCGGGATTGGGTTTTCGTCGCTTGGCAACGACGTTGTAATAAAAGCCAATTCACTTCGTGAACTCGGCAACCAGGTTACCGTTTTTTTTTTTTTCCTCTGTTTTTTGGCGGTAACCGCAATGGTGGTCGAGTAGATCATGTTGTGCGGGGTGGAGAACCCTCACTCCGCGCAAGGGGGATGATCGCACCACGTTGTGTTAAAAATGGTCAAGCATCCTCGAGGCAGTTACACAGTGCTTCCAACTGTCTCTGGAAGTGAAAGCACCGGAAAATAAATTAAGTCATACGCAGCTGTCATCCGGACGCAAGGAAGTAAGCACAAGATGCTGAACACCCTTAGCAGGATGCAGCGCACCCTTCATGCGACTCGCCGAATACCTCACGGCGCTTCGCGCTTGGTGATGTGAGAGCCTGGTCCGGTGAGAACCCGGCTTGCTCCGTCCCGGCTTTGTAGGGATGCGAAGTCAATGGTCTAACGACTACGGCATGCACGACAATGAGTACACCCCCCCCCCCCTCAGTCGTCGGCGAAGCCCCTTCCGGGGATCTCTGTCCTGGCGTTGTACGGAAACCAGGAGAAGGATCTAGGCTCTGAGACACAAGCAGACAGGCACAGAGAGACAGAGAGACTGCTCTCGAAGACAGAGCAGCAACAGAGATCAACGCAGAGAGAGAGAGAGAGAGAGAGAGAGATTGAGACGGAGAGAGAGAGAGGCTGGCCGTCAGTCGAACAGACAAACAGAAACAGAGACAGAGTGACAGGAGAGCGATGCTGCCAACTGACGATGACGATCACGCGTTCACGCTCGCGACCAACATGGTCCAAAGACGAACAAGCAAGGAAAAAATCAAACGACTGCCCTCCCCGCTCTCCCCTCCATCTTGCGCTCCGTCATTTTCTCTTCACGTTCAGGTGGCTGGATTCGACGATTTCACCTCTACCGTGGGTGATCTGTGTACCCCCGTGGTGAGTCGCACACTTCCTAACCCCGCACTTTTTTTGTTTTAGAGTAGCCCGGTGAACTGTGTAGTTTGATCGATGATGGGTGTTTCAATTGCACTCCGACGATTTACGGTCTGTGTCAAGGTCTGTAAAACGTGGGGTTGGGCTTACGATCATGGTCAAGGGTCAACACACCCTCCGAGAGCATGTATGTTGGTGTTATTGTAAGAGTATTCGTCATTGTGAGTGTCGATCGGTCTTCCCCACATCGTCGACACCACCACAAGTGTGTACGTACCCTAGGAGAAACGTGTGTTTTCTTGTCGAAAGTGGACATCAACGTGGATGCTTCTTGCTCGCACTTAACCCGCGCGCTCCCTTCGGGTGGTGAACAACTCAACTTTGCTATTGTATGTGCTACGTTAAGAAAAACGTATATTCCCTTGTTTTGCTGACAAAGCAGCAGCACGGCCGTGGTAAATAGCAGACGCGCTTGACGGAAACACACGAGCTTGCCACTGATGCATCCTTCACAGAATGGTCGAAGACAACCCCCCCCCCCCCTCGCCGCCCTCGGTTTTTGTTGCTCAGACCGACGATCTCGAAGTGGTGACCACGGCCAGCTGCTGGGACCACGCAGACCAGTGGCATTACATGACCGCATGTGAGGAACAATAAGAAATACGTGGCACGTTCATTGTAGGAAAACGGTCAAGCTACCTGGTTTTAGACCGTACGGGCGTGCGGTAGACGTATCGACGCTGTACGGTATGTAAAGAACCAACTTCAACACGGTAAAGACGAAAAAATCCCGCGTTCACTAGCACGTTACCAAACTCTAGTCGCTCGTCCCTTTGGGGGAGGGTGAAATCACTCCGCCTGATTTCTCCATGTTGCGTGAATAGAGCCCTAGGGCTTCAACGTAGACATGAATAATGTTTAAGCTGGGACGGTGGGATGAAGAAAACCTGTCTCCGCGGGCGGGGGGCTTTCGGAACGCGTTGATTAGCATCATTTCCTGACTCCCTAGTTGCTTTCCCCAATGTCGATTCATCAGTTCTTGCCAGTCCTCATCATCGTGCCATTGTGTGTAACAACTTGGGCCAGACACTCGAGTACAAACAAGGGCTTATGGGGTCGATAAATGCCTGATTTTGTTCGACGAATAAAAAACGAGACGCGGGAGTTTCAGCAACCCTCCAGCTCTATATCGACCCAAAGCGCGGTGCCGCTATCCCGTTACCTCCTACTGCATTTCTCACCTCTTATTGTCCGCGCACCTGTATGTTCACTACAAACCCTCTTGCCGCGGCGGCTTGGCGTCATCACGTCCAACGAAATCGATCAGATCTCATGATGGCAGTGGTTTTCGTCGCCATCGAAGGCGTCAGGCGGGCTGGTGTGGGAAACCTCGACGAGCCTATATTGACCGAAGAGGCAGATGCCTTCAAGGACTGGTGAGCCCAATAGCGTATCAGCGCGACCTGTTTGTTGTTTTGTACCATGCCGCGGTCTGACTGCGTTTCTTGTTGCAAGAATGGCAGCCAGTAAACGTGTACAGCGGTTATAACCTCGTTCTCCGTCGGCAAGTCGCTGGCGTCTCTTGGTTGAAGAAGACAAAATTCGCCGTGAGTATACATTAGAATGGAATTGGCTAGTAGTTAGAAATGGTGATTCGACGACGTGGTCAGCAGTGAAGATGGAACGGAATGTGTTACTGTCTCTTTTACCTTCCGCTTTAAAACCAGAACATTATAATATTATAATCGGGTCAACCGCAACCACTATTCTGGGTAGCGATTGAAAACTGTTGACTCGTACATAACACACACGTGTGTTGAGTGTATGTTGCAGCGAAAATTTCATTTTTCTATGCTTTGACGGAGTTCCAAAAGTATGTTTTTTAACGTAGCTTACCCTTTAAAGCAGAATGTACCTGTCCATTGTGGCTTTGGTCGTAGATAAAGAGAAGAAGCTTTAACATTTCGTCCCGCGCCCACATCACGTCGAATTACTTCACTCCCCCGGTACACCACACACCTACCCTGTCGACGCTGATAAGGTTTGTGGCCGGTATCTTTCGCCGGTATCTTGCGTGTGTTCTTGTTTCTGCCCATCCTCTCAGGTACGGCGACGAACCTCCCACTACCGGCCCCAAGGTCGAGGAAGATAAGTCGGTCGCGGTGGTCAGCGTTCCTATGGCCTAAGTTTCCTTTTTCTCTTCTCTTTTGCTGTAAGAAGGATGAGGAAACCTTTTGCCATATTTTCTTTCCTTGGAGAGTGATCACAGGTGTAACAAGAGCACTCGCGTTCAGACTGTTGGGATGTTTTTGTTAGTTATTCGTATAGGTTGCTTTGCTTTTGGCAAACCGTACCCCAGGGCAAATGTAGGCACATAGCAGTGCATGAGGAAAGCTTTCGACCGCCTCACTTTTTATATTCCGGCCCTCCCTGCGTAGGCAAATGAGAGAGTATCCTTGTGTTGCACGACAACCGCCGGCTGAGGCATCCGCCCTGAGTACAGAGCATGCCGTGAGCTCAGAGAGGACACAAAGCGGTTTTAACAGGTGGCAAAGTTGCAGCGTCCGCGCGGCTGGCCGAACGAACGAACACTATAAAAGCGCAGAGTACCGCAACAGAGCCAACCTTGGCTTTTTGGGTATTAAGGATAGGGTCTTCACACCTCTCCGCTGTGCATGTAAATAAATATGCGTGAAGTATGGATTGGTTGTTTGGCACATGTAAAACCGCAGCCTAATATCTACACTTGGGGTCCCCAGCAGATTTGCGCGGGTCGATCGTCCACTGGACATTTTAAACGTGCTTTTTAAGTTTTTCGGCCCGAGGATGGCAGTAGCAGTCTTCACACAGTCGACGAGTTTACCTTCTCTTTTTTTTACTAGTGCTGCCCCAACTACTAGTGGCGCTTGTTGCCTGTGTTGCTCGAGGGCGGTACCGGGTATCGGAATTCGCCGGAGGGGCCCTCGTCCTTGACTTTTTTCGACGGAGAAGTTTGTTTGTTTTTCTTGTGCGGCTGAACCGAGGCCGCTGGACTACTACCGGCGGGGTGTCACAATGTGTTGTTTAAAGCGGGAACGCCCCGCTCAAGTGTGACAAAATGGATTACAAGCGGGCGGATGAGTGAGTTGGTCATGAACAGGGAGGGGAGGGGGGGTGGGGTAGCTCTCTGCATGTGACATGAGTCGAACACAAAAGTATAGTAGAATCAGCCAGTGATGAAATAGCTGGTTTTTGTGCACGTTGTGTCCCACAGATTTTCCCGCTGAGGTGGGGTTTTAGCCGGGCTGTTTTCATAGTCTACGGAACCTTGTGTTTTGGGTATATCGCGCGTTGTGCGCTTCGTCGGCACCCATGTGCTGCGCGTTCAAACCTCGTCGTTGTGCAGCCTTTCTCATTTTGGTGTAGGGGCCTAACCAACGAACGGCCTAGCCAATTCCATATGAAGACTACTTTGTTCTTCAAATGTTTACACCGAGTAATATAGTACTGTAGTATTTTGGACGAGGCACTCAGCTTGTCAGACGTACGTAGACTTTCAGACATGAAGCGTTCCTGGGGCCAGCCCTAGATGTCAAGATCCTCAGATTAAGCGGACTTGATGCGACGGCTTTTTGTGTTGGTCTCCCTTATAAAAACGATATCCATATTTGCAGTAGTTGTCCGGACTTCCTTCACGTGGAGGTGAAGTTCGTTTCGTAAGAGTACGGGACAAATCAAAGTCGGTTAACGAGTTTCCATTGTCATCTCTACTGTAACTCAGCAGCCTGGTTGAGCGTTTCTTGAAGAGAATCGTTTGGTCTTGTGGTTAACTTCATGGTATCGCAATCAATTGTCGTACCCGGGAGTTTACTCCTCCCTTCGCTTGCCGCTGCTGCCTTGTTGAGCTGCGCATCCTCTTGGCCGTACGGCAGGTAGCCCTCCAACCAATTATCCCCGCGAAAGGAAATATGCGTGGGACGTTTTCACTCAATACAATTCCTACACGCATCTCCAGTACATGGGGCCTGAAGCACTTTGGTATCTCCCAGAAACGAGAAATGATTGGGATTACCCTTACATACGCCGGAGACTCACGACCTTGCGAAAATAGGCATGGGGCTCACCGACTTTGAGCCAAGGCAACCGTAGCGTGGCGAATGGTTGGGCCGAGTGGTTCTGAACACTTTCATTTGGCTTCCTCTTTTTCCTCCCTCTCCTGCCTCCTGAATTGGGGATCCAATCCCTACGGTTGGGAAGAGACGCAAGGAAGCTGACATGGCAGTATCGCATGTGCGGGATGGGAGAGGAGGGGTTGCCGAGAATAGTATGGGAGGCGAAGTGGGCAAGCAAAACGAGGGGTAGACAACCCACGGAATTGGTCAAGGTTGTAGAGGACGTATGGAAGGGGTTCGAAATCGAATTCGACGAAGATGAAACGCTGGAAACGGAGGGTCTACAGGGTTTCAAGGAGAAGATATCTGCTGCTTGTGCCGATGATAGAGAAAAACAGAATCTAAGGAAAGAAACCGAGGATAAGGAAGGTCTAGAAGTGTACGGAATGTTGAAAGAAGGAATAGGGTTCAAGGATTACCTACATGGACCAATGGATGCAGGGACAAAGCTTAAGGTCAAATTCATGACCGGGGACATAGGCCTTCGAACCGTCGACGAAGACATAGGGCGGTAGACGACGCAGACGACAAGTTCAAATATGATTGCGGCTTCGAATGCGAAGCCCGTGTTCATGTAGTCGCGGAGTGTCAGTTGTACGAAAAGGAGAGGGAAGTGTACATGACTGAGCTGGGAAAAATACAAGGGAGGTACAGGGAGATGCTTGAGGCATGGAATAGAGAGGAGAAGACGGTAGCTGTACTGGGGAGTAGGAAATGGTTTGAGAAGGCGGGAAGGGATATCGTTATTGGGATAGACAGACTCGGGAAGACAGTTTTGAATCACCATTGGCAAAGTAGGAAGGAACGATTGGCCATCGGTGATCGGTCCTGTGGGGACAATGCTCCGTCCTCTTGAGGACGCGTGGTCAATGGTCTAACCGCTAAGGCATGCAAAACATAAGAGTACGCCCCCCCCCCCTCGTCCAGCCTCCTGAAGGCCAAAACAGTGGGGAAACGGCAGGCAGGACACGGTAGCGGGGAAACGGCAACCAGGACACAGGAGTCATGTTTGTTGTACACTTAGCGCCCGCACTGAAAACCTCTCGTTTGTTTTGGCCGGGGCTGGAGGTTTTCGTTCCTAGGTTATGCTACGAACGGCCGCATCTATTGTACTCCGTAGCTTTTAGTGTAGGGGTTCTTCTTACAGTACGCATTATGTGCCATTGGACATGGTGTAAGAAATTCGCTCAGCCACCGGCACCACACTAAATCCTGTATGTGGACCAGTGTTGAGCAATTGCAAAGAGCGACCGATCGTAGTAATATTTTCTACACTGCGAACGAACAACTTGGAGCGACAACAAGAAACATTAACAACGTCGAGCTTCGTTTCTCATATATCTATCTGTAGAATCTGGCTGCTGCCCTCCTGTTGGTAGTTAGTCTGTGACCACGGAAGAAGGCGGCCGCGTCAGTTGGATCAGCGAAGTATTTCAAAGAAGGTACTCAGCCGAAACCGGAGAAAAACCACCACCACCACCACCACCACCCCCACCGCCACCACCACCACCACCACCAACAACAACAACAACAACAAAATGCTTAATTCCATCATGTAGATTCGGTAAGGGCAGGTTTGTTTAAGGCGTAGACAAAGGCGTACACAAAACAAACCGAGGTTTATTGAAACAACTCGAATTGCCATACTGTTTATATTGGGGTACCCGGAACGCATTGCGTACTGCGGGCCCCCCCCGGTCGAGAAGAGGAGTCGCATGTGTTACCATTCTGTTCAAGCCTTGTGTCCACAATCGCGGAGCGGGGCAGCTGGTCGATGCGGCGGCGGTGTGCAGGAAGCCACCCGTATCACCGCCGGGTGCCGATTATTCCTGCCGTCGTCACGCCGGAGTGGTCGGGGTTCTCCTCGTACATCGCATCAGGCGATCCAAGAATCGGGATGAGTTTAACGACCCATGATCGGGATACAGAGCAGACGGCGGAGCAGTTGCTTTGGTGGTGGCGTCGTTGTCATGTTGTGCAACGTTGCCCGATGACGCGCCGTTAACATCCTGTCTTAGTTAAAGGTTGTGCAGTGCAAGTTCTGAAGTATGCCCATGCCCGCGGAGCTTCGAGGCAAATAGTTACGGAATAGGGGTGAATCCCAGAAACTAACGCGCGCCGCACCATTTAGCTCAGGATTTGGGAATTTGCTGTATATGGCTGTTGGGGGCAACACATTGGAAAGAGTATCCCGAAGGGCGGGAAGATGAAGTCAGAGGAATGTGTAGGAGCCGCCCACAGTAGAGGACTCGCAAGGGGTAGCGAGTCGGGAGGCAATCGGAGGAAAGCACTGTGTGCGGTAGGTAGGCAGTAACAGGAGTTAATCCCACTGCACGAGTATTTTCATGATGACCTCGATGTTGGCGAAGAAAATGGTAGGGTACCATTTTAGGGACTTGGTCATCTGAGACTACTGTGTGCAGTAAGATTGGTTCCCTCCACCGCAGGAGAGAGCACCCTCAGTTGCTGTTTGGAGGGACGAGAGAGACAGTCTTTATTGGGAGAGAGGCAGAGGCACGATAGAAAGGCCGCAGAAATGTGTCTGCGGGAAACGTGCTCTCTGCCAGTTTGGTATCTCTCTCTTCCCTCGGGCGGTAGAAAATATTAACGAATGCAATTCGAAAGAAAACAATAAAGGAGAAATTTGATTTTTTCATGCTGCTCAGCAGCAGCATGTAGAAGTGATTATGTAGTATCGTATCCAAATCGTGCAGTGTATTTCGACGTACAGCAGTAGTACCATCTGTATCAAATCGTGTACCTAGTCGGTACCGACACACACACGAGATTTCGAGGGGGTTATTTCTCGACGTGGTCTCTTCTTGGTATTTATTTGTTCTCTAACGTATTAGTTCTAATACCAGTCTACCCAACAACGCGCTACCTAGGGCAACGTTCTCTGGAGATATTTTCGCCAGCAGCATCCAGTGGCCAACATGAACCAATATGCCGACATGCCAATCATCCAATCATGCAAACTGAGAATCTGAGAATGAAAAGTTGCGCCGCATTACGGAGGGATGAATGTATCTCCTCGGGCCAACCCAGCGAAACGGGAACCATATTTTGTGGGTTCCGCCGCGTTTGGGGTGCAACTCAACAACTCAACAACTCAACGGCTTGTTGGGCTCCCGCGTGTGTTGTGAGTTTTGCGCATCATACGCAAGCGATACAGGGCATGGAAATTCGCAGGGGGGACGATGGTAGTGGTAGCGAATCGAAAGGAGAGGTGAAAGGGGAAACGGTTGGCTTCGACCTGTTGGACAAGGTTCAGGTGATGATGAAGGATTTTAACAAGTTTGACATCGCAGGAGGACTGAACTGCCACGAAAGATGAAGCTCGGGTGAAGCCGAACAGCCTATCCAGCTGCGGTGCCCTCTTCTGTCGTGTGTGGCCATGACATTTTCAGGGTATGGCCGTCTTTCGCTTTTTCGGTGCAGAAAGAGCATCAGCACACGCACGTTCACAAGAAGGCCCCCAGCAGAGGCGAGGCAGGGATTTTGAAAACCATGTGACCAGTCAGCTCACAGCTACTTCACTCCCGGCAACGTACAAGTAGTTCTTCCTAAAAGTATTCAGCTGGCGCATGCTCGACGTTTGTCACACAAAGGAAGGTCAGGCTGGTCTAATGTGTGGCTCCTACGCGCGGACCGATACTGCTGAATGCAAGTCCATAGGCAAAACCTAAACCCTCTGCAGCCAAGCTTTTTAAGTGTATGAACCCATTTTGATTTCACACTCTACAATAATAGCATGAATGCCAGACTCTACATGAAGACCAGCCTACACACCACAAACAACACGAAAAATATAAGACTGATTGGCTACAAGTATGCGCATTCATGCCGCGTTCTATTGAAGCATGGCGCGGGGTATACATTATTCTACTCGTCGGCGCGCTTCGCAGAAGATGCGCGTACAAGATTAAGTGGGTCGACATCAACTGCTCCGTTCGCTTCAACTAACATCGCGAAACCAAGTTCCATTGATGGTCTACAATCCGTGCCAATCTACCATCTACAATTTTCGTTCAGGAGTTCTGCATGTCCCAGTTTCTAGAGGAAGACTTCGAGGA